CCTGGGACCCAGAACAGGCGGCTTCAAACCTCCCCTGAAATGTGACCACCAACCAGAGGTTCCATGATATTAAACAATGACTGCTGCTGCTGGGTGTCTCCGACCCAGTGAATCCTCCAGGTGGCTCGGGAGGCTGAGGCAGGAGGATCGCAAGTTCAAAGCCAGCCTCAGCCAAAGGGAGGCCCTGAGCAACTCAGGGAGACCCCGTCTCTCCATAAAATACCAAATAGGGCTGGGGTTAAGCGCCCTGAGCTCAGAAGCCACTGGGTCACATCACCCCGTTTTATACTGTCCCTAGCAGGTGCCACAGTGGTGAATGGTCTTGGTGGTGTGTATGTGGAGTCCTTTCCTGTGGACCTCCCCACCAGAATATAAGCTCTTTGGACGGCCAGGCAGGGCCATGCCCCAGGGTTGGCTGGATGAGGCTGAGTGGGGAAGCCAGGTAGATGGCAGGGTCTGAAGACCAGGCTGAGTGTCCCTGCGGCAGGACAGGGCAGGATCTGGGGAGCCCAGAAGGGGCTCTGGGGCTTCCTGAGGTGCAGGCATTTTAAAAAAAAAGGGAGTATTCGGGCTGGGGCCCGCTCTGGTCCCTAAAAAACACCAGCACGTGGCGCAGGCTGCATGCAGGGGGAGGGGACGCGCTGTTCCGGGCACAGTCCCTGGCTGGCCGCTGGACTCCGCCCCCTCCCTCGCCGGCCAGGCCTGCTGTTTATCCTCCCGGGGACACAGCGGCTGCAGGAACAACATGTAATTGATAACAAGCCCAGCGCCCGCCAAGGGCTCGCCATTGGGTCAGCGAGCAAATCACGGGGGTGGCGGGTGGGGGCCGCCTTTCAAAATAAGAGTCTCTGCTCCCTGCGCTGCCCACAGGCCCTCAAGTCGCCTTGTCCCGCTGTTTTAAGCACCTGTAGATGGTGAGGGCCACCGGGTTCTTGGGGAGGGAAGACTTTGGGGACATTTCTTGGGACCAACCAGGAAAGAAAACACTTCTTGGAGGTGGAGGTGGGGGGGTGGAGTCCCTGGGTCACACCACAGTGGGGAGGGAAGAGGGAACGGGACGGCTGTATTGGGTAGGGATGGCATTTCCTCTGTCCCCTCGGCTGCCACCTCAGCCACCTCTCTGGTAATGTTGGAAGGCCCCCCACCCCC